ATGGGAGAGATACTTGCTCAATGAAACTAGTTTTATGGTATTTTTTTAAGTGATCGAGCAAAAGTCTGCCGCCAAGCTCCCAAACTTACATACATTACATTGTTTTTCTTGGCGGAAAAGTAATGATTTATTATCTTTTTTGGATTGCTGACTTGGCGGGGAAAGTGTTACCACTTAGTGGTTTTTTGTTAGATTTTATTTATTTTTGTAGAAAATTAACAATAAAAATCCTCTTTTCTCTGATATATAGACCACGGCACAACTACATCTCATTTAATTTCAATAATATTGTTTGTGTAGAACTAAATTCTAAATTTTTGGTCTTATCTGCTTTAAAGCGATTAAAAACTTGTTGACACACGTACCAAAATTACTATTTAACAAACCCCCTGGGCTTAAACTCAGTTTCAAATTCCATTAATGGTCATCTTGAACAACATAAAATGCGTTGGTGTTACATAAGTGTTCTGATAATTAAACCCATATATCTAAAGACTAGTGTAAATTGAGCCCTTAGAAGTAAAAATGTAATCAAACAGATTAGGTTTGTTAATAGCATAAGGCAAAACAAATATTGAAAAACTCATTTATCCTAAATTTACATATCACTTTTTAATTGCTTGTTTAACATATGTAGAGTGATTTTCCCGATTGTTTTTTTTTTTTAGTGTATCAAACATAAAACAAACCTTAGTACTAGTACTAAGTTTCAAGTTCCTAGGTTTCATATGTTTTGATAAGTAGTATTAAACTGTTAAAAATGACGAGCTGCTGTACCAGTGTACCATCTGTACACTGCATTTTTCAATGGAAAGTATCGGGGAATATCACTGCTCTAAGTAATTTTATATAGTAAGTAGCTCAAATCATTCGGTATACCTGAAAAAATACTTTATAAAAGTTTTAAAATAATTTTTCAGCTGTTCCTATGGATTTCTCTAACATTTAAATTAATTGAGATTTAATCGCAGCTGGTCCTTCTTTTGTTTTGATTTTAATCCCATGTTATTTAAATGGGCCAAAAGCGTACTTTGAAGGCTTGCCAAGGGTTTATGGGTCAACGCACCGACTTGAGACCCTCAAAAGGCACATCTACACGTTAAGGGCTTTCAAACAACATAAAAAACTTTAAAATTGAGCCAGTGGTTTGGGCTGTAGGTCCGTCAACATTCAAGGAGAAGGAGAACACGGAAAATTTGCGAATTTTCAAACTAGTTTTTCTTGGCTCAAACACAACCGTTTTTTAAATTCTTTTTTTTATTTTGTTGAGAATGAGTGCCCCTATCCAGTAGACGAATAACTATTTTAATAGCTTTTGTTTCTTCAGAGCTATAGACGAGTAAAAAAGCCACTTTGTCACGTCATGTATATATACACTGCAGCAGCTGTGTACCGCTGGGGGCTTGGCGGGGCGGAACGCTGCCGCGTTCCTTAATTTCAGGTTAACTTAACCAATCAATAGTTTTATTAATACATACTAGGTGAAACCCGTCAAAATCGACGGTTATTTTCAAGACTTACGTTAATTCATCTAACTTCGATAAATTGGGTGAAATATACATATTTTTAGCATTTAGCATTGTTTAAAGAGTAATAAGTGTTGAAACAATAATGATATTAACTGCGTTAGTTGCCAATTGATCATTCAATGATTAAAATATTTCCTATACTGTACGTCATTGGAGTTATTATTAGTATGTTATATGGTATCGGTATCACTTCCTTTGGAAGAACCTTTAAATAGTATTAAAATCGTATTGGAGGGTCTTTTGTAGTTAAACACTTCTGTGATTTCATCAGTGTAATATGATTTTATTTGAAAAGAAAATATTGACACATTCTAACTTCGAAGGGAGGTATATCCGTTACAGTGCAAGTTGGATTTTTCCTTCGTCACGTCGCGTCAGTTCATATCGTACTTCTGTGCCAATGAATGAACCCTCTAGCATAGTTTTGAGAAAGCTGGAATTCCTTGAATGGGGGGTGTCAGTTAGTTGTATCAGCCTTATCAATAACATAAAGTTGTCAATATAATCTCTCTACGGAATGTTAGGTGTAGTGGTAGTGGAATACTTGAAGTGAAGTTGGCTTTTATTCTTGAACTGTTAGGAGCCTCCTCGTTCATATGGACAATACAAACAAATAATTCAAATGACGTAGCAATGGGACATTTCCAAAAAGTAAAAAAAAACTGTAAACTGGCTGTTACCTATATATTGACGTTTACATATGTTAATCAACGTATCTAATAAAGGATTATGTGATCTAGTTTAAAAGGAATATGACCTTTCTGTCATGACAGTACCATATTTTACAGCCAAAATGTTGTGTTATTTTCAATAATGTTACCAACCTAGTGCGCCAAAGTCCGTAATATAGGCAGGTGCAAATAAATTGTCAAGATGGGTACCATTTTCGGCAAGGTTTCTAAGTTTGGATTTTATTAGACATGATAAGAGCAGATATGTCTACATAAATATTTTATATGTGGCTTAAATTATACAAAAATATAGCTACCATACCAAGGACCATTATATAGGACTATTCACATTTCGATACTGACTGTAGGCTTTGCCTCTTTGGCTTTAAAAGTTCTGAGGTGAACATTTTAAAAGTAAATATTGATTGGTCTCCATTGCTGTGATGAGAACACTAACAATGTTTGTTTACATTTGCTTTGACTGTATAATAGCGTCACAAGAATATATAATAAAACTAAATTATAAATGCTGTTAGAACTAAAACGCAACTGAACAGTATCTTAATTCGATCGGCAACTTAAAAAATCTTTCACAGTGTAGAGGGAGGTTGTTCTAAGAGTATGTGTTTGACCGCTCTCCCAAATTTGTCTTTGTCTTGCTCCACTTTCAGGGTTTCAGGCAACACATTGAAAAACCTGATACTATTATAAAATAGGTGTCTATCAAAGAAACTTGTCCTGTGCTTAGGTAGTTTAATATTGTGTTTTTGTCTGAGAGTGTACTGCATTGAAGGGAACTGTGGTTGATACAGATGATAATTTCTTTTTAAAAACGAAAGACAACTCAGTATGTATATGGATGGAAATGTGAGAATATTGTATTCTTTGAAGAGAGGCTTGCAAGAAGTACGACGGGATATTCTGAAGGCTGCTCTTAGGGCTTTTTTCTGAAGACGGAAGACAAACTTTGTTCGTACGCCCTCACAGCCCCAAACTGCAACCAAATACGACAATAATGGGTAAATCAGTCCATAATAGGCACTCAAGGTTAGGTACACGAGAATCGGTAAACTTCGAAAGACCTCTGATCACAAAAATTCCTGTGCTAATTCTTCTGGATATGAGCTCTATATGGTCATGAAAGTTGAGCTGTCTGTCTAAAACCAAACCAAGAAACTTAGCATTGCTGCAAGAAGAGATCTCTTCGTCACCTATCAAAACAATCAGTGGGACTTGCTTTTTTGAGCTGTTAATGTGGTATTGGAGCATTTTTGTTTTATTGCAGTTTAGAAGAAGTTTGTTGTTTTGGAACCATTGCAAAGATCTATTGGAACTCTCAAATGCTATTGTCTCTAGATGAGCCACGTCTTTAGCTGAGACACAAAGTGAGGTGTCGTCGGCATATAAACAAACATCTACATTTGAACTTGGATTATTTGATACAAAAGAAGGCAGGTCATTAATGAAGAGCAAAAACAATAACAGGCCTCTGTTCTAACAAAAGATGACCGACCGCACAGATAGCAAGGGACAGACTAGTTAGAGCCTTATTATGCGCGGCCACTCGAGTGGCGCGCGACCGCGACTGCCCAAGGGCCACTTTTAGCGGGCCATGTGTTATCATATGGAGCTTATTAAGCGACGCGACTGCTGTGCCGCGACTGTCCACTCCAGTCGCGCACCCTCGCTACTAGTCGCGAGACCACACGACTGTCGCGTCACCAGCGGGCCATGTTATCATATGCTGTTTATTACGCGCAGCCACAGCGGTCCCTACTCTCTGCCCTCGCCTTAGTCGTGATGTTTGTTTCAAAATTGTATTATATTAATTATATTATATCATCATTCATCTACTGTATTACTTGACCAAAAAAATAAATCAGATTTGTTTCAAATTCTTACTTTGATTAAAGCGGTATTTTGCCAGTTCTAATTACATTATCCTATATGTTTTGGTTTAAGAACCTTCAGTGAAATGCTAGCTTCAATTTTGAGCTATTCATTATTTAGATCGGTCGTACATGAAGCACGCTACTGAATTACGAATCAACAATAATAATAATTATTATTTTAACACTTATCTGCAATCAATGTTACGTAACTCCTTTTTTTAGTTATTCTACATGTATTGGTCTTAAAATAGGTCTACCCCCAAAAAAAGGCTTTCATTTGAGATGTTGACCATTTGAATCTGTTAAGTTCAAGATACTGTCTGTATTACTCAATTATTACCATTATTGTGAATACTATGTTGACCCGGGCAACGCCGAGTTTTGCTGCTAATATTGTATTAAAATTATGATTATATCAAATCAAAACCATTATAATATTTAATTTAAGGAAAGTGTCAGCCTCTTCTCAGCTAAAATAAAATTATTCATTTTCCTATGCAATACGGAAGTCACCTTATATTCTTCCTAAAAGGTTATAAAAAGAACGCCTCGTCTCCCGGAAACAAACAAAATACATATTGTCGTCCTTTCTGAGATCATCATATAAAACCTTAAAAATACCCCTTGAAGGTCTTACTTTTAGTAACGGATTGCCTCCCAACACTTTTGTTTCGTCTACGTTTACGATGCTTAAGTAAAAGTAAACTAAATAGTTCAGCTACTTTACTTATTCACCCTGAGAAATCTGAGCTACATGTCAGTTTTAGACATTTCTAACACTCTAGATTTTTTCCTCAAAAGATGTACAATTAGAGTAATGAACTTCTGAGTTAGTGTTTCAAAGTATAGCCTCGAAAAAACTATAAGTACTACAGGAAAACAAGAAGGCAGAAAATAAAAACTCATGGTTAATAAAATTTGATCCTTTTAATCTACAATTATTTATGTTTGTATGTAACACAATCAACACCTTTCTGTAAGTTCCACAGAAAAAAATAGAATCTACAAAACTTCAACAACATAAAACCAACATGTTTTCCAAATTACTGGGCAAGGTCATACAAAGGGATAATTTAGAATAATTGTACAAACAAAGGTGATTGTCGATAAAACAAATCCGTGACCCCGTACACAATAAATAAATAGCTAAAGTAGATGAGATAAATGAAACAAAGCACAAGTTGGCACAAGTGACCCCAGCTCTTGAAACAGATGGAGAGATGACGGAGACGTTCCAGGCCTGCCAACACAAAAAACATCAGTCAGAAACAATCAAACTACTAACTACAGCCTTAACAGAGATCTTGTCAATTAAGGTCGATTCACACATACATCAGTTCCGGCGCCTCACAGTCCAGTCAAGACACAGCAAAAAAATGATTTTTAATGGATTTTCTTTTGCCCCATCTACACTCATCCAGCGCAGTTCCCATGCAGGTCCGTCAGTCGCTCTGCCGCTGTCTGTCAGTCAATTTCAGATTTCCCACTGATATTTGGGATTGTTTCCTGAGGGTTGTGTGATGTGTTTGACATCCAAAAATTAGTGTTTTTGTTATTTAAATAATTGTGTTTATATTTTAAGTACTGTTTGTAACAATCATCAAGATGAAAGAAGAAGAATTTATACAATATAGTGTATTAATACAAAATTCTTGACTGTAACATCACTTTAAATAAAGTGACACTGAAACCAACTGATGGATAGTTGTCTGAGGAATTGCAGATGCAACTGTGACTGGACTGATGTATGAATCAACCTTTACAATGGTCTGTAGGGAGGGAAAAAGCTCTCAACAACCCTAAGAGTCAAACCACTAGACACTAGTAGTATTGGATTTATTTTTTGAGACGTACAAAATAACAAACAAAACTCTACTTTAATTGAAACAATCTAAACATGTTATTTTTCCTACAGTCACCCGACAATGTGGGCTTCCATGCAAGGATTATAGTACAGAAAGCCTTACACTTGAAAATAAGTTAACAATACTTAAAGATATTACGCCTACAATCAGCTGGTGCAGCGTTTCCCATTTCGTTCAATGTTTGGATTTAACCTAACCTGAAAATGTGTTGTACAGTGTTTAAAAGACTAATTATTTATTTGATTTATAGTAACTGTAGAAAAATTTAATGTGTAACACAAGTGCAAACTGCCTTTGCTACACTCCATAAACTTTCCACACTCGCCTACGGCTTGTGCGTAAACATTTCTCTCGTGTGCAGCAAAGTGCCCCTTTACCCACTAGTTACAAAAATGACAATTGAACTTTGCAAAAAACCCTTAAGGTGGTGCAATGATTTTTGGTCATGGTGGAATTTCAAACTTTTTAATAATGTAAGTTGTCAATATAAGGTTTAGAAGCAAACAAATATTTTTTTTGAAATTTTTTTATGGCTACTTTTTTGTTAACAGGTCTTTGAAATAGGCGATTTGGCACTCACTCTTTTGACTTTATCTCAAAAACGGTTTGAGTTAAGAATGTGAAATTTGGGGTATTAATCAATGATATTGTACTACAGGGTCTAAAAGTATTTATGTGTAAAAAAAATGAAAATCAATTTTACGTGCTGCTTTATTTGTAAAATAAAAAATATAAATTATTAGCTAATTGAAAAGAAAAATATTTTAGACCAGGAAGTTAAATCTAAGGAATGTATAGGAATTTAATTTATTTTTAAATATTAATATTTGTAGGCTGTAAAGTCAAAAGATATTTCCGCTGTAACGCCCGCACTGCTCAGCCTGCAACCCAGAGCGCTCCGTGCCCCCACCACTCCTCACTTTCTCCTCCGCTGATGACTCAGCCACGGCGCCGCACCGACCGCACGCTCTCGGCTCGTTGGCGTGTACATAGCATTTCGTGAGCAAAACGTTGAGTGTTCTTGGTGATGTGTTGAGAATTTATTCAAATGTAGTGACACAGGTTATTGTTTGAAATAGTGTAGTGTTGTGTGGTGATAATGTAGCGGTGCTTAGTAGTGCGCTTATGGTAAAGTATACTCAATTCCTCGTTTACTTGTCAGTATAGAGGCATTACGGATGTTTACCCAAATCATTTCCAGTATTTAAAGCAAATTTCCAATTAATTATTAATATTTCTTTTGGAAAACATGCCTATAGAAAATTTTACACAGATTAGCCTGCAGCACTTGGTGCGAACTACAGCATAAATTGTAATATTAATTAAACTAATGGCTGACAAATTGGATTATGGTTTATAATTCCTAAGCCCAGTGACGTACTCAGGAGGGGGATGAAGGAAATATATCCCCCCCCGAAATTTTGAAAAAGAAAAAATACAAATTATAGTTCAAGCCGAGTAGTTACTCCCGCCGTTTACCCGGGGTTTGGTACGCACGATTTAGTTATGCGGCCGTTTTTTATGACGTTTATCCGATATTCGGCCGTCATCGATCGATGGTACCGATAATGTGCAACTGATATTAAAACTCTTTAAGGTAAGATCAATAAACTCCTACTTTCAGAATATGTTAACATTTTGTCCCTATTTGAGTTATTTGGAATTTTTTAACTTAAAAGAAAAGTTATAAACATAATTTTAAAATGAGTTAGCTACATAAATGTAAGTTTAATTTGTTAATAAGTGATTAGAAATAGGCCTTATAATCCCTTATAATTCCTTTCTTTCTTTAAAAACCCGACTAAAAAAAGCTTAAACTTGTGAGTTTTTTTAAAACTCAACTCGACTCAACCTCAAAAATTACTAATCTAATTAAATTACTAATTAAAGATAAATATTACCCTCTACAATTGTTTAAATTAGCAATTTTTTATACAAAATGTACAAATTCCATACCCCCCAAACCCCCCCGGTCTATCCCATCCTTCAAAACTATATCCCCCCGAAATTAAATCCTGGGTACGCCACTGCCTAAGCCGTCAAATTTTTCACGGCTTAGGGAAATTCTGTACTGAAAAGTAAAAGTGGAATAGAGTATATTGTTGTGCAGTGACATAAAACAATACCTTTATAATTAATTGTTTAAAATTATTAATTAAATTTTAAAAATTGAGTGGGCTTATTTGTTTAATCCTTATAATTATAGAGAACTGATACCAGTTTCATTTAATAAAAATGCCTTACAAAGGAAGAATTTATCGAAAACGTGGCAAGCGTTCTAGATCTATGAAACTTTTCATAGCAAGACAAAGGGAAAAAACGTCAAATGCTCCTGATGAAACAAGTGAAGACATTTTTAATAGACTTCTAGAACAAACCAGGTAGGTCTGACAACTTCTGCTCTCATGCATTATAATATACTAGATAATTAACATAATTTTGACCATAGGTGTCATAACCAGTTATAAATTGTTGTTCAACATATTATAATGATAAAGAAGTACTTGTTTTCAATTGATCATTGCTGGATAACCTTTTTGCATTATGCCTATGAGCTCCAATTACTATATCCTATTTTCATAGATGGGATTTTACTACGTTTAGAACAGGATACTAAACATTTATTGTTCTTAAAGTTTATAAATTGTTTGCAAAAACGGCCAAGCTTATATGTAACGCACGATCGCTTTTCACACTTGGCCATTTTTGCAAACAATTTAGGATATATTATGCCACGATAATTAAAAATTATTAGCCGTGTGTGTTATAAGGAGGGCCGTGTGTGTTATAAATGTGCCGTAATATAATTACAGTTAAAAATTAAGTTATCTTGAATTTTAATTACATTTTAACATATGTAATTCCCGCAAAGTTTTGCGGGGGAACAGATAGTTTCACTGATTTTTTTCGCTTATTTTGGTGTTTATATATTTTTGTTGATAATATCACTGAATTATTTGTTTGTGACTTTACTCAAAACTACGGGTGGAAAAATATTTTGGGCTTATGGAAAACCCGTTTGATTTGGCCCTGCTTTAACATTTCTGTATAATAGCAATAACATCAAATATTTGGGTACAAACAAATTACTACAGAAAATATCTTCTTTTTTTTTAGGCATGAAACGCTTGCGGCTCAAGAAACAAATACACAAAGCTCAATGCTCAATGATTCAAATTCAATTTTAGAGCTTGCGGAACTTGAGACGAATGCAATCCCCAACCATAATCGTAGTTGTCTAAAAGTCAAAAATTCAGATCCGAATTCACCTTTCAAGCTCAATGATGATCTTCAGATGACAGTTGAAGACAGCGATGAAGATGAAATGGTCGTTGACGACCCAGATTATTTCCCCCCTCTAACAGTGGAGAGATCAGTCGACACGGAAAAGGTTTTATTAAAGGGAAGAAGAATTGTGGATATTGACCATTTTTCCTCACAAATGGAAATTATTGCATCCCATCCTAATAAATGCACTATGGGGAAATACAAATTAAAGAAAGAAATCTGTAATGGTCTGTACTCAACACTGGTGTACTACTGTGATAATTGCGAAAAAGAGTTTTCCGTAACAACTTCTCCAGCAAGTGATAAGGAAGACATAAACGATGCGTTGGCCTGGGCTGCAATGTCAGTTGGAATAGGATATTCTCAAGTTGAAGAACTCTTTAGTATCCTTGATTTAAAAATAATGGGACAACAAAAGTACCATAAACATGAACAAGCAGTTGGAAAAGTAAGTCTTTGTAAAATTAACACTTATCCTAAAGTTAATCCTACGGTTAATTAACTTGGTCCATTGTGTGGTTAAATTTCATGCAACTTTTTTATAACTTGGTTTGTTAAATTTCATACAAGATACGTATTTATATGAATGTGAAATGAATTGCCCTTTTACATTGTTTCAATTATCAACTTCAGACCACCCCGAACGTTTTTTGAAGTGAACTCCTCATTTTGACATGGTGTTCATTTCCGGCCGCCAAATTAAATCTGCCATATTGGAGAGAAATTTTTTTTTCAAATTTAAAGGTTGGGTTGTGACCCATTAGTTCAAACTACATGTTGAATCCTATTACGATCACGAAAACTGTTTTGAAAATCTCCTTCCAATCTCAAGTTATGGCTAAACGATAAATTATTTTTCACTGTCCCGAAAGCAGCCGTTTTGGTGATTTTTTCGGTGAAATTACCATTTTTATTTTAAATTTCAAAAAGGTGATATCTCAGAAACGATACAATATAATACAAAAACAATTGCGACGTTGACTTTAGCGTTGAAAAACAGTCTTAAATCAATCAAGTATATTCAAGTAGGCTACGCATAAGTATCTTTTATCGTTGGCTAATTCGTATTTTGTAATTTTTTAGGGGTGGGAAGATTGTTTATTACGAAAAATGCAAGAAAACGCAGAGGAAGAAAGGCGAATAGCTATCGAGAAAGGGAATTATCTGAACGGAATTCCCTTCATCACTGTGATTGGAGATGGAGGATGGGCCAAGAGATCTTATGGGCATGGGATGAATTCTCTAAGTGGAGTGGTAAGTACACTTTAATTGTTATGTTTATGTCGCACTTAAAGATTGCATATTTTTTGGGACAGATGGAGGGGTAAATTTCTAAATCCTACGCGCCAAGCACCGTGGTCTGACCGTGTACCTTGACTCCCCTGACTCCCGCCGACCATGCGGATCGATGGTATAAGGGTCGCCAAAAACGTATATCACAAAAAAGTGAAAAAATCTGTGGTTTTTCAATATTTGAGTTATTCTTAAACAGTACGATCAACTAAAATATGTATGAAAAATGACAAATATTGGGGTAATTTACAACACTGGTTTTAAAAAGATAACACGCTTTTTACAGTTCAAAATAAACATTCTCTTCAGCTGATTTTCAGCAGACAGTTTTTGAAGCTTACAATTTTCGCCGCCCGCCTTTTTATTTGGCCGCTACTCTAAGAAATTCAATACTAATGATTTAATAACTCATATAATTTTATTGCAGGGAGTGATTGTTGGCGCAGAAACTCAAAAACTGCTGTATCTGGGCGTCCGGAACAAATTTTGTTTTGCCTGCGCAAATCCCAATAAAAAGAAAGTGGATCATCTTTGCTTTAAAAACTATAACGGTCCTTCAACGGGGATGGAAACAAGTGTCATAGTAGAGGGGTTCAGAAGAAGCGAGGAAGACTATGGACTAATCTATCGTAACTATATTGGAGACGGTGATTCAAGTGTATTTGCCCGTATTCAGGAAGGGTGTTATTACGGCAGGTATGTGAAAAAAGTGGAATGCGCAAATCATGTTACTCGCGCACTCAACGACAACCTTCACAAATTGTCCGAAGACACTAAATATCCATTGGAAACTCGCAAGCTCATTAGTAAGCCAGCGCCAAATGAAAGTATATCAAGGCTTGAACGCATGGTAAAAGGTGTCCGTACAGCGATAAAGGAAGCTGGCGTGACAAAAAGTTCGGAAGCGGTAAAAAATTTGCGCCACGATTTGCACAACGCTCCAGATCACGTTTTCGGCAAACATGACAAATGCCGCTCATTTTGCACACGAAAAACAATTGGCGAGGAAAATGTACTGCCCCAGATGGATGTAGACTTTTTGTGCAAAATAAGAGCACTTATTGGAAACCTAGAAAGTAAATGTGACAGCCTGGTTTTTGACCAAACGACAAACGTCGCTGAAAGGTACATGGGCTGCGTGGCAAAGTTTACAGGTGGCAAAAGAATAAACTTTTCAACAGGTGGATCTTTTCGTCAACGATGTTTTGGCGCTGGTCTCGCCCACAGTGCAGGACCAAGCTGGCACTTGAGTCCCTGGAAAAAACTGAAAAACCGCAGTCCAGGGCAGGTATTTAGAAAAAAAATCCTCTCACGGGAAAAAAGAAAAATTAAAAGAAAAATTTTATTTTCAGGAAAGAAAAGTATGAAGAGAAAGAGGAATGGGAAAGACGGTTCCTACGACAAAGAATACGGCCCCCTAGCAGTAAAGGCAGATATAGAGGAGGTCGAAATGGTTGCCAAATCTAAAACATTTCTGCAAAACTTGAGAAATGATATTAAAAATGGAAATGAAGAATGGGAAAGGAAAACTGTTGGGCAACGTAACAATGAGTTATGGTTCGAAAAAAGAATGAACAGACTAACTGCTTCAAAGTTCGGATTTGTGATTAAACGCCTACCGCATACACCTTGCCATAATCTTGTAAAATCCATCCTCTACTCAAGATCATTAACCTCAGAGGCCATAACTTTCGGAAGAGATCACGAAGACATAGCTATCAAACTTTATGAAAACTCAACAAACAACAGCGTAGAGCCTTGTGGATTGTTTATCGACGTGTCCAATCCTTTTCTTGGCGCCAGTCCGGATGGAATAGTTGGTGAAGAAGGCATCGTTGAAGTGAAGTGCTTAGCTTCCGTAAAGGAAGAAACTTTGTCAGAAGCGGTAAAAGCTAAGAAAAACATGTGTCTAGAGTTGTCAAAAGAAGGGGAAATCAAACTAAAGAAGAATCACAATTACTTTTACCAGATTCAAGGCCAGCTCGCAATTACAAGCCGCAACTGGTGCGACTTTATTGTCTACACAAAAAAGGGGGAGATTTTTGTGGAACGAATACAAAAGGACACAACATTTTGGACCAAAAATATGTTGCCGAAGTTGACCAGATTTTACCAGGACTGTTTGCTCCCAGAAATTGTGGATAGCAGAATTGTTAGAGAAATGAAATGTAGAGATCCAGTTTACATCCTAGAAGCACAAAAAAAACTCAAAAATGCAAAACAAGAAAAAGCTAAAAAATCATAGTTTTTAAAATCCGTGCTATCTAATTCAAAATTGGCCCATAAAATGTTCTCAAATTATTAAGAAACACATCAATAAATGCTAACCAATAAATCTTTTAATTAACTCAATGATCAACATTAAAAACTTTCAAACTTAATTAAAGTCTTGTATTTTTTATTATAATTTTTTCTGGTAATTTTTTACAAAATTTCGCAAATTGGTCCATTTCCGCAAAGGTCGCCACTAATAAATCTTTTTATTAGCTTAGCTCAATGGAGGGTGATAATAATCTTCAGAGTTGAATAAACTCTCTTATTTATTTAGAAACATCATTGTATACAACTAAAACTAAGTCATAATGATCTATCTTCTTAATTCTGTAAGGGTTTCGCCTAACGTTCCTTCTGTAAACGCGCTTCAAAACTTTTCCAACTTATATTTTACTGTTTTTAATGTAATTTGTAATTCAACAGCTGATTACATTAACGAATTTTTAGGTCAGATTGTAAACAAATGTACACTTCGGGCACAAAATGTGAATAGTGAAAAATGTGAAGGTGGTTTTTAATGTAATGTAAATAATTTTTATATTTTTTGTAAGTAAATATTAAAGTGTACTGTTTGTGCACGTGCTCCATCGTAATATTGTAATTACATACACATGATCAAATGTCAATCATGCGATTGTAGGCATGCTTTAGAAAATATGTTTCAATCATAATTTGTAAATGTTGCGTGTAAATAAAATGTTACTTCCTGAAATCTTTCTTATTCCATTTTATTTATATTGACCTTACCTGTAAAGATTGCGTGCAATTATTTTTTTAAGCAGCGTTTACTCTACAAACCAGAAACAATACTTTGTCTGAATATTAATAATTAGAATCCAGATTCACATTTACAGTATCTGCGTTTTATGATAAAACGCAAAAGAATGAAGCTGCATTCCAGAAACTCACACAATTTTATCCTATTTTTATTTCAATATAAATTTGAATGTAATATCATATAATCAAATAAAGCATATTACTGGAATTTTAATTTGTTGAGTGAAATAATGCGATGTTTGACAAAAGCAAGATAAGTAGGTCAGTCCGGTAAATGACCATTGAACTATTATGGTTTGTTACAAATTTTTGGTCGTTGATAAAGTAGAGATTGCAACGAATGAATTATGTCTTAAAGCCATTTATATTACAATCACTCAGTTCTAAAATAGACCTCTTCCTTTGATTTCGATTAACCGTAGGATAGTTAACAATGTAACTTTACCAATGGTAAAAAAATATAGTTAATTATTATTAATATATGAAAAATCCAGTTGTTTCTTTACAAATTACGATCTTACTGTTCTGTACAAAGGTCACGATAAAGGTTATCTGGTAAGTGGACATGGCCAGACTCTACCGATGACCACAGCGCAGGTCAGGGGCCAGGACATTGGGATGTACGGCGAACCTAACAGCCACCAGCCGCCGAAACAGAGCAAGCTCGGAGGACAGTCGGGCAGTCGAGGGTTGGGGCGGTAAGGGGGAGGCAGAGAACCGGGGGAGGGGAAGCGGCCAAATGCGCCCCTCCACTTTGCTGTCGTACGCATCGCTCCGAACGCCGACGGTGCTGCTGCCTGGGCGGATTTTGTTTACTACAGAGCTCACTGCACCACCTTAAGAAGTTGGTTTCCTCCTCTAGTTACAAAAATGACAATTGAACTTTGCAAAAAACCCTTAAGAAGTTGGTTTCCTAAGTTATTTATACAGCTATCTTACAGCAGTTTATTTATTAACAATTCATGATATAAAGTGTTATACTCTGCATTATCTCAGTAATTGCACTTTATATTTTATAATCACCAAGTGTTGCCTAAACTAAGATAAATGGGCTAGGGTACCTAAATCAGATCTTTATGTGACAGAGGAAAAAATACTGTGGAATTTACAAGGAATCCAGGCGAGAAGGTACAATGCTGACAATTTCACATTTGTTATTATTATTACAATTTTGAGAGTGACAATATTTCAACCAAAGCAGATACCTTTTGAACACATTTTGAAGTTAGATCGTCAAAGTGTAAACCTTACAATTTAAAGAGTTTGTACATCAATGGGTGTAATATTAATGAAACATAGCGTAAGGCTAATTATCGATGTTCAATCAATCAATCAATCAAATCATTCTTTATTAAATAAAACACAGAGTAAATGTGTTGAATAGTGTCAAGCCAATAACATTAGAAAATATACATTTAGTCGCCAGGCTGACATAAAATAAAAACAATAATATGAAACACGGTGAAGATTTAAAATTTAAAAAAATAAATAAAAAGTTACCCTAGTTATGTTATGGAATTCAAGTGTGTTTGTTAGCAATCACGGAGTGACTGTGGTGAATGTAGGGGATATCTGCATTTCCTCTGTAAGATCCAGAGGTCTTGTATCGTATTAATGGAAAATTTTAAAACTTCAGTGCGTTACAAGATCTATTTATCTCGTTCATTTAATGTTTACTAGTTGTTTCATCAATAAAAATGCATTGTACAAGTTTTGTTTCTTAACGATAACTGTAAGCCAAAATATCAATGTCGTAACTTAAAGGGAAGAAGCCAAATTATGGGTCCCGCACTACGGGCTATGTACGATACGAGACCTCGAGATCTCGTAACGCACTGAACGTGTTAAACATACATTTCGTCCTAAAGATGTAACGGAGATACATTTACACATTAGTATTTATTTTTATAATAATGATTGGCATTTTGACTATGGTCTAAACTAGTATAGTGAACAAAAGAGTAAGAAAAGGGAAAAGAGTTTAGGTTAGGAATGTTTCAGTTAAAGAATAGCAGTTTGCTCTATATTAACACTAAGGTACACACCAGAGTATGGACTAGACCGAGAGAGATACAAAACTGTTGTATTGTGTGATGTTGCGTTTGAGAATGTCTGCGCACGGCCCCAACAGTCGTTCAAATCTGAACAAACAAACATTTAAATTAAAACAGAACAGTATCAAAACTTCAAATTAATAAACACTTAAACCATTCTAGATAAAGTAGTCTAGTCAGTAAATTATTGGTCAAATGTTTATTTTGATAAGGCAACAAGATTACAAATCTACCTCCATAACTTCTTCAATCATAACAAAACCTGGACATTTTCTAAAATTAGTGATGTGTTAAGTAAATTCTGGGAACAGTATCGGCAATCCTTGTTAAATGTACCAGTATCAAGAAAATGGTTTTACGCCAAGATAGGTTTGAAATTAAGTTTCCTTGTATGATTCCAGTACCATAATAATTCAAACACAGCCTGACACTCTGACGTTAAGACAATGCACTTTGCACCCTAGTGTGGTGACTTATCACAAGTGTGGTTACCATAAATCCATCCTTGGGTGTCAAATTCAAAACTCAAAAACATCAAAACATTGCAAAAGTGATAGTGGCAACATCCTTAGGCAACTGTTACAATTAAAGCCATTGTCAACAATATTTTACTTGACATGAAAAAAACAACTTATGGAATCACAGAAATGAACGGACGACCAATAAGCTATTGACTGTGAAGTGTGAATATTAAAAAAATTGTAAATTCCCAATCATATTTAGTATTTACGTACAACTCAAAGATTTTTCTTCAGTTATCAACATTTCTTGCACGATTCTCAATAAAAAAACCCTCAATAACAAGTCACTCTTGTTAACCAGTGTTATTTTCAAATACCCTTGATTTTCTATTATCACTAATCACTTATCATCGCAAACCTCTATGAGAAGTCTACCTTGATTTTGTTATCAAGTCTTATTTGATAATCCACATGAGAGAATTGCTATCAATCTAACAGTTTAAATGTTTATTTTATTTTTGTAGGTAATGAAGATGACCACTGAGACTGTAAGTTCTGGGTCTCACGATTGATATAGATTTATAATTTTATAAGCAAGTTAGATCGATTGTACAGAGAGCAGTTTATTTACAGAGAGTATTGAATAGATTTAGCTTAGACATATCTTGGCAATAGACTTCACAAATTACAAATTGTGGGGTCTACGGGAATGAATATCACAAATTGTGTTGTGAACCTTTCCATCGAAAATGTCACTTAGGCTGTGATTTGCTACACACGTAATAGATACACTCCATATGCGTATCCAAGCCGCAGAACACTTGTCTTACAAAGTTTCATTAATTCGGTTTCCTGGACTGCAAATCAAAGGCAAGGGTTAACTAATATGCACGTGTTAACTAATATGCACGGGGTATTTGCTGCGGCTTTGACAGTCTGCTCTCGGAGCAGTCAGTCTGAGCTGCGTAGCGACACAGACGCCTAACACATTGGAGCAAACATCCTCCTTCCTTCCTTCCTTAATGTAGTGACAAAAGTAAACTTTTCTTACAGTGATTTATGAAGACCTCATCAAAAAGGTGTTGGGATACAAAATTTCGTGGATATATAAATGTATATAATATTTTCCCCTAGTTAATCGGAATAATTCTTTAAACTTAACTACCTGTCTAGCTGATGCCTACAAACTAATAATTTATACACTCCCACACTTTCTCTTCTTTTGTAAAAATCTAAACACGGCTTACAAGTCTTCCGAGTTTGATTCCCCAAAATATCAAAAACATCATCATCTAAATCCTCATTCCTCATATGAGTATTCATCATATAAAGCAGCCCTTAAACAATCTCTTACATGAAATCATCTCTTTTTCACTACGTACAATACTAAAACATTGCGTATCTTACTTACGCACGTATCTTCTCTTCTTACACAGTTGAGGAAACCAATAAAATAAATTCTGCTGCGTTCCACCAACAACTGAATCGCAGCGCTTTTAAATGGCAGCGTAACTAAATCACAGCGTGTCTATTACGCGTCTAGCAAACCACAGCCTTAACTTAAAAATCAATGCTCTGAATTTTGTATAGAATTAAAGAAAATTTGACCATATCAAAATATGTTGTTAAAGCTAGATGCTGGATGGGTCAAGAGTTCTCCTAGTGTGCTTACCTCGCTCTGTCCAGCTTCACACATTTGAGTGGTCCCTTAGCCACCACAGTAGCAGCTCTAGGTCTGTCTAAGAGAAGGGCTATTTCACCTGAGGAAAAACAAACCGAGAGCTCACATTAGTTTTACGTTAATCTTTCACCAAATTTTCAAGTTTGACATTCTTTACGCTGGAAAAAAGTAGGCAAATGCAGAAGGGACAATACACACACCGACTATATTAAACTGTTGTATGTATAAGGTTTTATAGATAGTTACAACTACAATAATTACAAAAAAGGCAGTCAAAAACAAGCTAATGAAACATCAAAACATTTTTTGACAAACAGCTTCCGAACTGAAACAAAAACGCTCCCATTTTAAAGTGATTTAAGTATCCGGTACCAAAATTTTGGGTAAACCTAGCTCACGTCTTGAAGGATGGAAAAAGTTAATTCCACATAGCTCAAATTCTTTTGCAAAAAAATATGGAACTTTCTACTGCTTCAAGAGTTATTTTATAACTTACGGTACTTAAAATTTATGTATTATCAGAAAATCTATTTCAAAACAAGATCCTGGAAATTATTATTTTGTTGAAAAATGTATATTAGGACGTAGGTTGAACAAAAAGAGATGTGTACCTACTTTCAAAGTAATGACATTCAATTTTTCTGACCATTCTGAATATTAAGATCCTTTTTATAGCTAAAATAACATGGTTTTCACCTTTAGGGTCAAAATAATCACATTTTTGACAAACCAGTGGCTTGATATTTGACAAACCTGAGGCTGTGTTTCACACTCTAGTGGTTAATTAACCAGTCAATCTTTAACACCTCGTGTCAAAGAAAACGCTAATAGACCGTCACAAAATTATCACTAGATCACTAGTCTTTGTCCAAAGGATTTCACACAAAATAAATTCTAATGGGGTTAATAAACTTGCTAACTTAGATTTCTTATTAATATAAGAAAGAATAGATTTTAGGTTTGTGTTTTACAATATTTTTTACATTTTAAAACCACCATCTTTTTAAATATTGCTAGTAAATATTTGAACAATCAAATTACCTAACAGACTAATCTAATCACAAACAACGTGATTATAAAAATAGTTCTTTCAAACCATAAGAGAATAGAATAGTGAATTCTCGACATTTCAAGAACATTTTATCTGTGTACTACAATCTTGTCAAATTTAGTAACGTTAATTGAAACAATACAGAGAAACCTACAAGACAGTTTATAAAGTAGGTTGGATCTTTTATTTTGATAGTGTCAAAGGAAAATAAAGAAAAATGTTTCTTGAGCAGGCAGTTAAATTTTTATTCCTAGTTTTTGTTGGCACGGAAGACAAAACTAATCCACTTTGAAAGAGTTCCAAACCAGAAAATGAAACTCTGAGAGGATCAAAACAGTCTCTCAGTACAGCCACAGTGAAATACACTTGTCTCAATAGGGGTTCATGATAAGTTGTATCTTTGAACTAATAGATTTATTTCATCTGGAAAAATTCTGACAATCCAAAACCAAATAGGAGGGCTTTTAAGTACAGTAAAGCACAGGTTGGCCGATATAATGTGGACGATATCATTTTGATTTTAGATTACAAATTGTTTCGTCTAATCACTGGTTCCAAAATTTAAAGGCTATATTTGCTGAAAGAGTTCTACAACAATAGTTTTTTTAAACTTATTTCAATCTTATAAGCTTTTACTGTGGAATATTTTATGACTTATCAAGACGACTGAGGAGTTAAGCATGGTGGTTACAAAGTGTTTTTGTTTATGAACAAAAATGTTATAGGTTTAAAGTAAGTATTAACACGTTCGCGGCGGCATGGGAGCGATCGCTCCCATACGGAACCCTAATGCCATCCTGGTGGGTGCGATCGCTCCCAAGCTACAATGCAGTACGAAATGATTTATTTTTAAGCCAGGATTAGAGCTAGAAACTTGAAACCTCGCACAGCACTGCTCAATAGTATACTGTATTTTGTTGTGGTGTTGGTTGGTAGTAAATCTTCCCGTAAATCCCCGTCTGGCAATCTCAAAATTCTACTTTTGTCCCGTCTTTTCCCCTCCATTTGGCAATACAATTCCAATGGGACCGGCTACGTTACAAGCAGTGCTGCTATCTGTTGGTGTTTAGCGAACTACGTCGACTCTCGTTGTAAAGCAGGACATCCTCGCACGTTATTTGCTATTTGTCAGCCCGAAATTGGAAAGCCAATCACACGCGGCAATCGGGTTTGTTCGATGCTGAGGGCTGCGCCGGACCTGGGATACGCCCGCCATTTGACGTGCCGCCGCGAACGTGTTAATCTCAATCTCATTCATGTTTTCAATGTCAATGTCAGGTGTTTAATTTAGAGCTTTTGGTTTGAACTATTAAGTCTTTTAGGGTTAACTACTTCCAAAGTGAATGGTATTAGCCATGTTATTTATGTTATTATGCCGGGGTCATGAGGCATAGCATTCTTTCAGTTTCAGTTTTTATTGCATAGCAAACATTTTATTATTACCTGTATTTTTTACAACTCGACCATGCAAGTTAAAGTTTTGTATTTAGGTATGTTCCAAAATATTCCTTGTTTCAACTATCACTAAGTGCTTACAACTATTCTCAGCTCCAAACCAATATTCCGACAGACAATTGGCAAAACTTGTACCCACCAAAGTAGTCTGATTGCCCCAGTCGCCCCACCTCCGTGGGGTCTTCACCCTCCGCCCTCCGCTGAAGCACCAGGGCTGTTCCCTCTACAATGATGTAGAAGTCGTCCCCGGGCTCCCCTTGTCTCACTATCGTGTTTCCGTCTTCGTAAGCCACCATCTCTAGAGCATCTGCTACGGTCAGCCTCTCCCACTTGTCCAGTGATTCTGTACACAAACAAACCAACTGTGTTCAAATCAGTTTGACGGCAAAATGTTTTATTTGGAGCCCACAATTATTTTGTAACACTATTGCTGCTACGTTCTTTGTCATGTATTGCAAATTGCAATTACCTTACCTTACCCTCTGGCGCTCACGGTTAGCCTTGGCCTCCATCATAATTCTTCTCCAATTTTTTTGCTCTCTGTCTCCAATTCTCAATCCCCAAAATTCTCAAATCTCCTCCAACGTCTTATTCTTCTTGGACGACCTCTCTTTCTTGAGACGATCTAGTAATTTTAGAGGCATTCTTTTGTTCCCATTCTCACTACATGACCAAGCCATCTTAACCTCATTGATTTTATCACCCTCTAACTATATCCTCTCTATGGATTAGATAATCCAACTCCTATTTATTTCTTATTCTATTTCCCCTTCTTTTAGCTGACCAAAGATTCGTCTTAATATTCTTCTTTCGAACACTCTTAGGGCATTAGTATCAGAGCTAAGCAGTGTCCATATTTCAGCCGCATCGGTTACAAAAGGTCTAATTAAGGTTTTATACAAATTTATTTTGTTTGCTTAACAACCCCAACTGGGATTTTAGAAGTTTTTGATGAGCAAACTTCTCGCCCCGGGAAATTTGTAATTATATTAAAGGAAAGAATTCCACCAACCATCAGGGATGAATAATCTTTCCCGTTTAAATACCAAAACAACTATAGATAGTTGTATAATTTTATTTAACAGTCACTCCGCTCTATCTCATTTGTCTTAATTGTAGTAATCATTTACTACAGTGTTCTACATCATCTATTAAAAATTACTTTCAATTGGAACGGGTTCAATTCCCCACATATCCACAAAACATTTGGAGTTAGGACCGCTTTCCCAAAAATTGTTTGGAAGGTTGCCCAAGTAAAATGGACAGTAAACCAACTTATATTCTTGTCTAGAAATAACTGAACTCACCCAATATAGAGACCCTCGAGAGAAACTCTTCGTACATCTTGCGCTTGCGAATCGTCGAGCCCATGAGTATACGACGGTACGAGTCACGGTCAATACCCCACAGCTTCACGTCCGTCTTAGCCCGTACCGTGGCGGCGCGTGGCGTGCCGTAGATCAGCGCAAGCTCTCCAAAACTGCCTCCCTCACCTACCGTCGTCACCAGCTCTGAGTTGACGTACACCTGAAAAATTACATAATTGTTAAAACAGGTTATGTTCAGAGCAATGTGAAACATCTTCCATCTGGTAGCTCCTACTATTCTTTGGGAGTTGTTACAATTAAATATCTTCGTCTACAGCTATTGGTTAAAACAAAAGAATAATATCATGTTTTACATTTCTATCAGAACTGGATGTAGATTGTTACTTGAACCATATGCCATTTGTCATTGGGTTATCTTAATCTAACAAAGCTATCTAACAAAAGATCGATGTCAGATAATATCAAGACCAGGGTTTGGACCGTTCCATATCAAAACACAAAAAAGAATTAAATTAAATAAACAAAATATGATATTTTGTTCAGTATTTTAAGAAATAAACTTTATTTGAATTTTGACACATGACTCACAGTTTGGTGTTTCACCTAAGATTACAGTGATATGTTAAAAAGAAACTGCATTATTTTTTATCTAAAATATTATTCTTAGGTTATTTATTAAAGCCAATTAAATGGTAACTTTGTTTAATGCAAGTTCAATATTTAATTTAAAATTTTATGAATGAGGGTACAACCTCATTGAAAAATCATTTTGCAATATGAGAATATTTCTTGAACCATGCTGAAGCTCTTGATATTTTTTAATAATTCACAATGACAGTAACATTAAAAATCTGACGAAGTGAACAAATAGTAAAATTTGATAGAAATGGATGAGTAAAACTTGATCTGACAACTGCATTCACGCTTTTAGTCCATAACAAAACAAAACACAACCTGACTGAAAGACGATGCGACAATAAATATACAAATGGCAAAAGCATGGCGTCTCTTGTTGAAAAAAATACATCAGTTGCAAAAATTTACTTTATCAATCTGACAAGGTTTTGAACATTTTAGTCCTTGTTACCACTAATATCTGGCCAGGGCACTAACATCAACTTGTAACGACCCTTCAGAGAATCATCCCAATGGTACCACAAAAAACTGCTTTCAAATTGTATCATCTACATGAAAACTAAATCATAATTTTGGTACAAATCCCTGGTAACTAGATATGTTTGCAAACTACAAGTACGAGTAGGTAAAATTTAAATTTAAGTAAAATTTAAAGATATAAAACAAACTTTTCAACTGGAAATTAGCATATTTTAAGATAAACCACTCTCTTGTGATAAGCTACAGTTTATGTACTTACAGTTATATAATCTTAACACTTAAAAAGTTATTTTATATTGATTTTCCAAGCATATCAGTTTTTTTGATTGCTTTTGAGTCAGGTACAACATCATTCAGCTTTTCAAAAAAACATCTTGTTGAATCTCTTAAATTCACCATTTCACTATTGTAACTCAGCGATCAATGACATGACTGTATATCTTCCTGGTGCGCAACAAGGCTTACAGAATTATTGCTTGAGATTGGTAATGATTGAGACGCTTTATTCACACTGTTTTATATTAAATAAAAATATTAAAATTAAATTGTCAGAGTTTGATAAGTATTGCATTGTTAGCATTTTCAATTTTACACAATAGACTGCCACAATGTTTTTAAGATCTTTAGCTTTTGAGCTGCTCACACACATTACATCCCTCACGTTTTGCAGGCCCCATCATAAGAGTTCAGTATGTGACTGTGACAGGACTTTTGTTGTGATTGCCTGTCGTTCTTGGAACAATCTCCCTCTCACGATAAAATAACAATTTGAAAAAAAGATTACCGAATAAATCTGCGACAAAATTGTATAGACTTATTTTATGCTTTAAGGTACACGTTTATACAAAATTTGAAGTTTATATTTTGATTAAATCTCAATTATTAAATCTTAATTAATTATTAAATCTTAATTATTAAATCTTAAGTATTAAATCTTAAGGTGAAAAACTAGTCACCAGAGAACCACATTTATATCATGAAATGTGTTTGTCTCCACCTAAAGAATAATTTGGTATGAAATGATCTAGATAGTTCGGGACACCCTGTATACATCAATGGCTTCGACCAATAACCTCTTTCCATAGATATGCCTGATGGTTGTTTCTGCTTCATGACAGCACAGAAGACATTGGAATGTACTTGGAGCATATTGGACTTGTTAGGTCATCCTAAGAATGTTTTTGCACATGCATGATTGCTGATGAGCATGCGAGGCAATTTGCTTGTACTTTTTTTGTAATATGTGTTTACAGGTTAAGTGTAACAATGGGCTTTGTGGTGCAAACTATGTCTGTTCAAATAAAATATTGTCATTAGGCTAATACTATTTCTCTATACAACTTTAACTTATCTTGGTTAATTCCTACCATAAAATATAATTTACAAAAACACAAACATGGCCCCGTACCTCAACTTCTCCCTGGTCGATGACATAAAAGTTGTCCCCTTCGTCTCCCTGTTGTATGATGGTCTCTCCGGGCAGGAAGGTGACTGGAAACATAGCGTCGAAGATGTCCGATCTTTCATTCTCGTCCAAATGTGAAAACAGAACATTTTTGGCAATGGCTTTTGACAGTGCGGCCATCGTCTTGTAGTCTTTAGGTACAACCTGTAAAAATCACAAATATCAGTGTGGTTATCAGTGGTGGTCAAATATCATGTTATCCTTAACATTGGAGTGGGTGAATCTTGGTTTCAATTTACACAATTAAACACTAGTTAGATTAATGCATTCTCGAGGTTACCACCAAAGACACGAAGATTATACTCAGTGATAATCCTCCTTCTGCTTTCAATGACATGACATCATATAATCATATGCTAACAAAGGACCAACCTCCATCAGAAACTGGGGATTTGCCTTATCACTGAATAACCTATGACACACAAATCCCTCAATTTAAGTTTAGTTTATTACCTTAGTTTAGTTTAGAATCTTAAGAAGTCACCTTATTTGCTTATTAAGGTTTATACACTGCAGGGTGTTGCATCTGTAAAAATTATTTCAAGAATACCGTACAGGATTTTCATGTTAACCTTAGTATTTTAATATTTAGGCCTACTCAGCAAATACAAATAAAAATATGTCTTACTAAAATACTTTAAATTTTAGGTGTATTTTTACCATAATTCATTTTAGTTCAACAGAAAGTAGTATTTTTTTTAGTTAAAATGTGTGATCCATACTCAAATTTATTATAGGCTACTATATGAAAAATTTATTTAAATAAAATTAATTACATTTAAAAGGCATACCATGGAGATATTTAATTTTAAATTGCCAAGTATGTTTGTTTTGTCTTGTGAAAGTTAGGAACATAAATCAGATAAAGGTACAATAAAAATAATTTTCAGTTAGTAACAATTGGTAAGCTAACCAATCTATTCATCTAGTAGTTCAGGTTTGTATGTTACTCTAATGTTAAGATGTTCACCATTTTTAATATCTTTATACTTTTACAATTTCAACACTCAAAATCAAGCTAGTTTCTTATCCAGCATTTAAACGATTTTAAGATTTATTTCTACAGTACTTTGACCATTCAAAACATTGACACTTACAACGGGGTTCTTTATATAATTGGCAGTGGAGTCCTTTAGTAAGCCTAATTACACTATCCTAAAAACATTATCCAAACAAGACTAGGGAACCCCCTGGATAAAAAGTGGTGTTTTCATGTTAGCTGTACATAGATCACAAGTGTGTCTGTATTCCCTGTGCCCTGAAGGCTCTCATCTTTATTCAGCAGCCAAATACTAAAACAACCAAAACTTCTTTGATCTTATCCTTCAGCTGTCAAAGCGAATTCTATATTTCTTCGACTTCGTATCATAGGAAATAACTTCTACACTTATACGTTTGATTAGTTTATTTTTACTAACTCGATTTTAGAGCTAGTAGCTTATACATAAAAAAAAAACTTTAAAAGAACTTAAATTAAATTTATCAGAGAGGGAAATTTTCTATACAAGCAATTTTGAACATAATTTTTGTGAATTCGAGCATGATTTTTTGTCTTAGTGCATTTTTGTTTCCTCGGACATTAGCTAGGTCAAACTCCAGGATTTGTAGCTAGAATACCTACATTAAGTTCAACAATAGACTTTCACCAACGGAAGCGGATCTTTGATCGGAATGGTGACTTGAGCCATGCAGAAGCCCGAGAACGCACTATGGAAGAGTGGCGATATCGCTGGGAGGGTAATGAACGAGGAAGATGGACAGTGAGACTCATTGGGGATCTCCAAAGGTGGGTTGAGCGAGACCACGGAGATCTTCTATTTCACCCAACTGCTCACCAGGCACGGCTGTTTTGGGGCCTACCTTCACAAGATGAGGAAGTTAGAGAGCCCAGAATATCAGTACGGTGACTCCGACTACGATGATGTACAGCATACCTTTTTCCACTGCGTGGGGTGGGAAATGATCAGAAGGAACCTCAAAACAGTTGGTGGACCGGTTTCGCCGGACACACTTGTCCAACTGATGTTGTCCAGCCCTAATCGTGGAACGCTGTTTCTGCATTCCCCAGGGGAGTGCTAAAAGTGAAGAGAACCGAACAGCTGTGATGCACCAGTGCAGCTGAACCCGATGGATCATGTCCCACACACCAGGGTAAAAAACATCTTAATGATCCTGACTAGATCATTTCCCTATCGTAAAAAAAATATTTTCACCATTATTTACTTTTTTTGACAAAAACTAAAACTGCATTTCATAAAATCTGCAATCACAGTATTAATAGTACAGTAGAACCTTGATAAGAAGACTCTCATGTGGATCATTAAATAAGACTTGTTATCAAGGTTGACTCCTTATTGAGGTTTGCATAACATGTAATTAAGGGTAAAATAAATTAAAGGGGATATGAAAATGACACTTGTTTATCAAGAGTACCTTGTTATCGAGGGTCTTCTTATCGAGGTTCCACTAATTATCTCTAGCGTTCACTGAGCCATCTCGATCATCTCCGCGATCGTGACATCGTGATTATCTGCCGCAAGCGCGACATTACCCGTGTGGGTAATTTCTTGCGGTCAAAGTGATATGGCTATTATTATCACGACCGTGATTTTCTTACTGCAAGCGCTTACTTCCAAATAACAACTACTGGAACATTATATGATGTGTTATGTTTCTTCATATTCCTACGCTAAACTGCTTTGTTCTTCTGAGAGCTCACCTTTTTGACATAGCTGGTGGCGTCCTCCTCTGTGACGGGTTCAGCAGAGATGCCTCCGCGTCGCTGGACTGGTCTCTGTGCTGAGGAAGGTAGAGGACTGAGATCCTCCGTGTCCTCCGGTGACACAGCCGCCTGCCTTGCATCTGCCGCCTGCTCCTGCACACACCAAACAAACATAAGTAAGCCTAGGCTTCCATCCAGATGACATTAACAGAGAACACAGATATTTTAAATTTTCTTAGATGCACAAGTTAAAATTCAAATCCTTCTTGAACTAAATTGTCATACTGTACTATGAAATAAACATTAGTAGGTTGTAGAACAATCACATTAACTTTTGAACGATTTGAAAAAGAGAGAACACAATGTAGGTCAACCTCAAAAGTTTGAGCAACATGTCACAGTTAAATAACAGCTGAGCTGCAAGAGTGGGTAGAGACAGTATTGGGGGTCACCCTTCCCTCTAGTCTTTGACAAAGGGAGGTATTTCCACGAGGTATTTTAACTTCTCTTTTAAATAGTGAATCTTTTCTACCACACCACTAAAATCTATTGCCTATGAAAATCGAGTTATAAGTTCAAGTAAATATTCATCGATAAATTATTCACAGTTGCAATTCAATTCTAAGTTACTAAATTTTATAGTTTTTATCAGCTAAGCAATAACATCTAGCACAAATTTTGATAATATTTAATAAATATAATTCATATCAATGCAGATATTAAACGAATTTTGAGGATTTATATATATAGAAACATTATATATCATCACACATCCTAGTTTACTTGTAAAACAAAATGTAGGTAGTACAGGTAAATAAAAAAATTTTTACAAGATAGAAAAAACATTTGTTATCTGAACATTAGAGGAACACGTTATGAAGAACCAATTTTAGCATGGGCACAGTGTCAATTATAAAGTGCTGCCTTTTGTGTGAATAGATTAACTAACTCATGACAATTTAATGCCAGGAATATTGCGGCTCTGTTATAAACCATGTTTTATATGTCTAAGAAAATTAAATAGATACTCTAAATGCACTAAACTTAAAAAAATCATTTAAATTATTAATTTACCGCATATTATTATTAAAAGTGTACGCTAACCAACATAATTTTACCAATCTGGGGGGTAGTAAGATTTGTTCATAAAGAAAAATCGTGGATGTGTAAATATTTTCTATACTTAAAGAACCCCATTAATGTTATCTGTGACCTCGTCCCGTATTGAAGCACAGAGTATGTAAACTGGTATCCAAATATATCCCAAGCTGAATCTATAGCAAAACATACTACTGTATAATGTTAATTCCCTTTCAAGTAATAAAAATTCCATAACCAGTTACACAATTCATTATGTTGTTTCAGGAAATTAGAAGCAAAATGTCTTTGAAATAAAATTTTAACTTCATAAAATCATGACAACAGAGATGTAGATGTAAGCAAAAGCAGCACAGATGATGAAAGGTATTTCTTGATGTCAAGATAGTTCATCACAACCTTTGATGCGAATGCAGTTATTAACTCCTGATTCTACATTGCTGAACTTTTCTAATTTTAGGAAAGTCAATGTACTTGTCTGTAATATTTGACATATAACTAAGTTCAACTTGTTCTCATATGGTGGAATTCACACGTAATTTTCTTAATGAAAACCAAACTTCCAAAAATGTTTGATTAATATCTGTCGCTCTATTCGTCCCAGTTTTCAAAACTGTGATCCCATGCAGTTATAGGCTATATAATGACCTTATTTTCACCCACTGTATGCCTCGCCTCAGTTTCTTTAGCTTGTCTAAAAAATGTTAAACAAACTGGAGTGTGATGCACTTTTATTGTTAGTCTCTATAACGCATGTCACTGTGACCCCATGTGATATTTTTATTTATATAAGTTACTAGCTGTACCCACGGGGTTTTACTTCATAAGTGAGCTCGTTCGCATGGCTCAATCACGTCCTGGTTGAAGTTCGTTCGCTACGCTCACTCACCTTTTGGTTGCAAATTAGCTGTTGTCATAAATTAAAAAAAAATAATAGTGCTGCACCCTGCTGGTAATCCTTGTAACTGTAATGCTATTGCACATCATAGAACAGAACCAACTTGTTTAAGTGAAACAGCTGTTAAGATTCTTTAATTCAATTTAAATATGAGTACTCATAAGGTTAACATGGGAAACTCCAGAGCCACTGGGGCGGAGCCCGAGAGTCCGATCAGAATAAAAACAACTTAGTTTTCCTATTTAATGCCTAAAGAATCAGTGTACCAAATTTCAGCCTCCTAGGTAAATGGGAAGTGGGAGAATTAGTGATGAGTGAGTGAGTCTGTCAGTGAGGGCTTTGCCTTTTATATATTTTGCTACCAATAATTGTTTGTTATGTTATCAATAAAGAATTTTGTCTCTCTCTCTCAAGGTATAAGTCTTTAATATACAAGTGTCCAATAGATGGACAAACCATATTCTTCGACAATATATCGGTGGAATGTACATTGCCTTGATTATCAAGTATTCTACCTAATACTTGTAATAGAAATGCTTCTCTCCAGGCAATCCAAACATATTTTAAATTGAGGTTGGACTCAAGCATAATATATTGTCGGGGGAAGGGTTGGTAGTTGCTGAGGCAAGATATTCGGCTGATGAATTTAAATAGGCCTAGGATGACAATAAGCTGATCAGGAATCAACTTCTTAACAACTTACGTTACATTCACTAGAAAAAGATAGGTTGAAAACACTAAACATCGATTTACAGTATTTCATTCTTTAATTTTTAAATATTTACACAATTTTATTAAAAAAAATGATGTTTTAAAATCAAAATATATTTTTCTGAAGTTAAATCAGTATTTTAAATAATATTGATAATAAATAAATGTGTATTTTTTTTATTCAGGCCCTAAAATTTTAATAAATTATATCTACCATTATTGTAAGACTAATTAATACTGATTAACGATATTTATATACAGTAAAATATTTTGTTTCTGTAAATATTACTATATGGATTTCTTTAATGTATAAACAACCTACTGTACTACCATCATACACATTTCAGTGAACGAATCATTGAAGGAAGACACACATTTAACACAGAGTCAGTTATCCCTGTTTAAACATTGCCGTATAAGTTGTTTCATAAAGTTAAAAACCTATTATAGTCCAGGCGCTAAACGGGTTGAGTATGCACTGAAAGTCTGACAAAATTTGACTTTTGATTATTGTTGGGGACATCTAGCAGATGAAAAAAATCGATGATGTCGCATTTCTAGGGTGGTCACAACTCGGGGGGGAGGGGGGGAAGTTGCGCGGGTCATCGGTTTACGTTCCCGCGTCTAACTCACAAACGGTTAATGATAGAAAAGTGAATTAAGCGTCTATCTACGCCTAAATATATTGTCTTTTACAAAGGTTATTACAGCCTTTCTTCTATCTCTTATACTTTAGGCGCTAATCAACATTTATTGCAAAAAATAAAATTTAAAAATACTTAAAAATGAAATATCGGAAATATTACGCTTATTTAGGGCATGTTACAAACTATTTACGGTTAGAAAAACTAACAAGTAGTACAACAACACCAAGTTTAAAGAAATCCGTGCAAAAACAACAGAGCTACGTTGATTTCAGTAAGAATAAACGTGGAAAATTCGTAGTAGTACCGAGGCGCGCATGGACGGTACGTAGCCCACAGTCGATATAGGTTTGATGTTGTAAGTAACTATGGGAAAGCTGAATTTTTCTATGCTGTTAGACCATGTTGAGATGAGCATTTTCCCAAAAGTCCCCACTCCTACCCTTTTGTGCTTTCCTCTACCCCCCCCCCCTTTTAGATAAATTTACAGTCTCTTAGAAATTAAGCTATAACTTTAAAACGGGTAAGGATAATAACGCAATCTTTTATTAATCATTTTGCGTTACGATATTCTACAAAAAGTGTTTACCATGGTATCCTAAATATTCATTGTTATAAAATATCATAAACATAAAAAAATATTTTTTACGGATTAATTTATGAAACTTTTCTTTGTAGATTTTTTATACGAGGTCGCTCAACAAAATGTTTGATACAAAATTTGGGGTGCATAGTTTACATTTTAAAATGATACATAGTTATTAACAGTTTGTTTGCATATAGTAGTTATAGATAGTACAGTATATTGATTTTACAGGCCTCAGGCTTTTTTGTGCACCGCAACAATGAAAAAAATTACGTATATTATGGTTTTTGTATTTGAATTTGCCGCTTTATATAGATTATATTAACGTTATGTAGCTCATTCAGTACATATACAGACTGTAGTGGATACATATGAATGAATATCGTGCATTTGCTGCTGTACGCCAGAGCCTCATTTTATTATACAGGGTGTCTCACCTAAAGTGAACCAATAGATAACTTTTTTATTATGAGATATAGAGTTAACTTCTTATGGGACACTACCCTTTATTTTAAGATGTTTTTTTAGTGGTTTCGAATTTTAAAAATATGTTCGCCATTTTCCAATATGGCTGACAACTTTGTTAGTCCTATGGAATACCCTGTATTTTATGATTGTTTTAGAATGTAAACGCACAACTTTTAAACCTTTTTATTCTTGACATTTTTCTCTAAAGCTACTTGTTTAGGAGTTACATCGAAAAAGAAATGGTTTGTGAGTACATCCTGCATCCTCACAGCTCATAAACGTAAGTTTAAGAGCGGAAATACAAAGAATAAACAAGTTTTCAAATCGCATCTACATAAAAAAAAACCATAAAATAAATTGTTCCAATATCAAAGTAAGCTAGCATTTTTGAAAACGGTGGCCATTTTTAGAACAACAAAATCAGTATTTTTTAACGTATTTTATATATTTTTTTGAACGAGGACTTATATGTGACTTATTTATTTTTTGCACTTTCTCTCTCAACTTACTCGTTTATGAGCTACAGGATGCCGAATGTACACCACAAGCCTTTCTTTTAGATATAACACGCTGTAACTCCTAAATGGGGTAGGTTTAGAGAAAAAATGTCACGAATAAGAAAATAGCTTTTAAATTGTAAAAGAATACTAAAATACAGCGTATTCCATAAGAAATAACAAAGTTGTTGGCCATATTGGAAAATTGTGGATATATATTTTTTATTCGTAACCATCCCTAAAAACATTTT